GACAACAGAGTTTGTACCTCTGGAGCAGCGTAGTTTGGACTCCCACAACTCGTTTTTAGAAAATGGCCATCACGCATAATATTGCTCAAGCCAAAGTCAGCAATTTTGACATTGCATTTTGAATCCAGAAGCAGGTTTTCTGGCTTAAGATCCCGATGTACAACCATGTTTCTGTGGCAATACTCAACACCAGAAATTATCTGCTGACATCAAAACAAACTATTTTTAACCAGAAATATATAATAGGTATTAACTATAAATCTATGGCATATTAAATAAAATTAACAAATTGAGATTGTCATAGCAAAGTAAAGAAAATTCCTGAAATGTAGATAACATCAAATCATCATGAAATGAAAATAAAACAAACCCAATAAAAGATTAACTTCAAAAATAAAAAAAATAAATAAGACTAACATTATCATAAGAAGTACACTAACATATCAAGAACATAATCAATAGTGCTACAGGTATCTTGCAAGCAAAAAGAAAATTCATCCCACAGAAAGCTTTATACAAGAAATGAAAACACGTAATAAAGCTAGAACTAACAGAGGCATGGATTAAGTCAGGAAGGAAAAAAAGAATAACAATACCCTCACCTGCTGGAAAAAACGTCTAGCTTCATCTTCTTGCAATCTGCCCTTCTCAACAATATAATCAAAAAGTTCACCAGATTTCACATATTCCATTACAACATAAATATCTGACTGTGTCTCTATAACCTCATAAAGGCGTATAATATGAGGATGCATAAACAATCTTAGTATTTTGATCTCTCTTCTTACTGCAATGAATTAGAAAAAAGTTGAGAATACTAAAGTTTCAATTGTTGTAATATAAGAAGCGGCAAAAAACACAATAAGTTCAAAATTCCAGAGCGGCGAAAAAATTCAGCTAGTACATGACGAAAAGCTCAATATAACCCACTTCAGACTATAAGAAAAGATTAATCTAAACATAATGTCGCACAAAAGAACGAACTTCTAAAGTAAAAGCCAAACCTAATGGGTCTTTTTTTTTATATATGATCATAATTCCCTACATTCGGTAGTCGGAGAGAATAAATTAGAATCTACAAAAATAATCTAAGATTTAGAATGCTCTCATTATATCTTATAATCAATGAAAAAACACTCATAAACATGTTTTAAACGCCACTCTGCAACATGCATGAGGTGCACCTACACATAAAATGAGAACAGATGAATTTGGAATCCAGCATACAAGCACAAATGCAGATGAACTCGGTATAATAATAGATGGAAAAAAAACCATAAAACGGATAATTTCAAACAATAAACATCTCAGAAAAGAAAGATTGATTGAGAAAAGAAACTTAGGGCATTAAGTAAAGGAAACTTCTATAATAAGCATCAAGTAAACTAAAATACAGCCTGAATAAAAATTGATATCAGGAGTTCAAAGATGCGTCAGGTGAAGGTGAAAGCATCTAAAATATCAAATAAATAAAGCCCATAACTTAATATAGCTATACCTTTTTCTTCCATTTCCATGTTCTTTATTTTTCGGCGATTAAGAATCTTGATGGCGACCTTGTGACCAGTTAATGCATGTTCTGCAATTTTTACTTTGCCGAAAGAACCTATTCCCAAAGTCTTCCCAAGTTTGTAGTTGGGTAATATCACGTCAGCACTAGTGCCGCCTCTGCTAGAACCACCATCCATGTCTGCCAACACTTGTGAGATAGAGAATTTAAAATTATCGCTTAAGAGAGCTAATTAGTTTGTGATCACCAATAAAAAGGTGATCTAGGAGGAGAGAAAAGCAACCTTATTAAGAGATACATGTACTAATAAAGACAACTCAAACATTTAAAAAAAAGTAATTAACATTCTCGAAAACTCTTGGCTAGCAGCTTAATCTGAGTATGGAGGTAAGCACATAAACAGTTACTAGACAAATCAAAACTGATACAGAATACAAGGCCAAATACAGGCCTCCTTTGGCTTGGTTGTTATTATTGGTTTTGTTGGTTAAGAAATTGTTGTATGAAAAACAAAAAGGCTAAGATGCCCAATACAACAACTTAAAAATAGAAAACAATCTAACAATTTCTCATACTAAAAAATAGAATAATCAATGACAGGTAAATTTTAAAATAAATGGAGTGCAATGAAACGCCCAAAGGAGATTCTAAAAAACAAATAACAAAATAGCATCCATCTCAAAAAAGTAATAAATCTAAATGATGCATCCCTTACAATGCAATCAGTGAAGGTAACGTGTGCTTTTCATGTTTTATTGAGAGCGACTAGAGTGGTGAGAGGTAAGGAAATAAATATGATGATAATTTTGATAAATGTTAAAGAAAAAAATTAGGCACTTTGCAACTTGAAAAAAAACATAATGAGGTCGGATTGTGAAAAGCATAGGACCAGGTGTGGGAAAAGATGTGGAAACGGAGTTATTATGGGAAACCCTTTTTGATGTTTTCAGCATTCTCAAACCATAAATAACTAAAAATGTTAATCCAAACTTAGCACAATAAAAGCTGCAATTAGAATCCTTTATTTTTTATCCTAAAACAGCCCAACTAAAATTTGATGTCACTGGTTAGATGGCTTGAACAATGAATTTTTCAAAGTAAGTTCAACATAAACCAAAGTTTAGATGGCTTGAACAATGAATTTTCCCAGTTTTGGTTACTAACATCTAGAATACATTAATAAGCCCTGAACATTTATGTAAAATACCACAAACTATATACAAAATTTAAGTTGCAGCTTTGCTAAACCTGTTTTCATTAATGTGAACCATTTTTAGTCTATTCATGGAATAAAGTACCATATTGCTTTGCAAAGATTATTCCACGTGCCATGTTTGACAACCAAAACCAATAATATTGTTTAGTAGATCATGCTGGTTAAGCGGTAAAACAACCTGTAATATTTGCTTCTACAAAGGCTGCAGTCATTTCAATTTACAGCAAATTTACAGAATGTAAAGCACATGGAACATAAAGCTGGTTAACAAACTCCCAACCATTGATCTTAAAATAATGCATACAGCACAACTTTTCATTGTTTAAAAGAAGTATTAATAAGACATGCCAGCTCCCATCACCTAACTTTGCACACCACTGTGCTCCCATTTTTGTGTGGGGTCGACCTCGGCTAGGACACCCCACAACATCTTCCACAGAGAGCCTTTCATACAGATGTTCGTCGCATCCTCGTGCAACTGTAATTCCATTGTAGTTTTAAAGCTGGATTTTTAGAGTCCATTGATTGTCATTGAAGCCGACATCACCTCATGTCGTTGTCATCTCATCCGCACTAAGTCCCTCTAGTTCCTAGAGCAGCCCTGGTCATACCATCCTCTTCGATCTCATCAACAAAATATTTTTTTTCTCATGTTCTCGGTTGTATTGTATCACTTCCATTGATCTCTATTAAAGGATCTCCTAAATTCTTTGTTACAACAGAGGCTCTTCGGATCATAACTCCCTGTGCAATGACTTCTCCCAAAACCTTCGTTGACCCTCACCGAAAACAATAAAAAAATTGAGGTCACATCCTTCCCTTGTGGCCCATAATATTTTTGAGGTAGATCCCCTTCCTCTCTTGTGATTGAAACTCCTCCAATTCATCATCCGCACTATTTTGCAAATGTTTATGTTGCTTAAACGTTACAACTTTTCCCAAATTCTACATTTTTTATCAGAATTCGGCGGTCATTCAATGTAAATGGCCCATACTTCTTAAAGTAAGCATACTCTTTTTTCTGATCAGCACATTTTTGTGCTTGCTAGACTTCTCCACTTGTTGCTTATAAACAAATTTTCTATGAATCTTCCTAACAAAAAGGTGATTTGCAAGTTCTTTGTTGATCTACAACTGATAAATAACAATTTTGTTCGGTATTAACCCACGACATATCATTACAAAGTTTTCCTGAAGAAATTACATCAGCCTCTTCTCATAGTGTTCATATTATATCAACAGCCTCCTGATAAGCAAGTCAAAATGGTTCCCCCATTTTACTTGCTCAGTAAAGCCTCATGTTACTCTGGTTTGGATCTCATTTCCACAGATTTGTGTAAACTGCTTCCACAAATCCATTCCATTCTCCTTGGCTTCTATTTCTAAAAAATATTTAAAGACAGACGTTGCAACAAATAATTTTACCAGGCTCTCTTTGGCCAGCCTTGGTGGATTTAACATTACCGTCCTCTTCCAAAAGCAGGTATGGATTGGGCCTCCATCAAATAGATATTGGCAGAAAGTAAAACTTGAAAATATTCAATCATACTACCCTTACCATGTTTCTAGAATAAATTTTATAAGTATTTTAAGGCTGATACCGAGCTGAAAATCCTCAATTTCAGTCAAATACCTTTAATTAAATGCTCATATTGACCCTCCAAACCCTTCGATGGAAGATCCATCTTCATTTGTTTGGGTGTTTGTTTCCAAAGCCTGGTGCCAAATTCAAATTTTCTAGTGATAGTTGTCGATATTCCTGTCCTCATCATCCCTTTAGTAATTACATCATCAAATGTTGATATTACCGCTAAGAATACTACGCTTGTTCTCAAAAAGCCCCAACCTCCTATCGGTGATCAAAATGACGATTATTAATTATAACAATTTCTCATTTTAAATAAAGCATTAAGATTACCGGCTCTCTAGTGAATAAATAATTTCAAGTTCTATGTACCAAAAGAGGCAAGAGTGTAAAAAAAATCTGTTGTCACCCTACTATTGTCACTAGGTTTCAGACTACAACAACAACAAACCCTTATCCCACTAAGTGAGGTCGGTTACATGAATCTTTTTTATCCATTGCGTCCGATTGAGTGTCATATTTTCATTTAATTCTAATAAATTAAGATCATTTTTTATACAATATGCCCGAGTCTTTCTAGGTATACCTTTGTTTTTCTTAACATAAGTTGAATGCAGAACATCTACTCTCCTAATCGGATCATCAAATGGTTACATCACCTCATGTCATTGTCATCTCATCCGCACTTAGTCCCTCTAGTTCCTAGAGCAGCCCTGGTCGTACCATCCTCTCCTCTATCAACAAAATATTTTTTTTCTCATGTTCTCGGTTGTATTGTATCACTTCCATTGATCTCTATTAAAGGATCTCCTAAATTCTTTGTTACAACAGAACCTCTTCGGATCATAACTCCCTGTGCAATGACTTCTCCCAAAACCTTCGTTGACCCTCACCAATAAAAAAATTGAGATCACATCCTTCCCTTGTGGCCCATAATATTTTTGAGGTAGATCCCCTTCCTCTCTTGTGATTGAAACTCTCCAACTCATCATCCGCACTATTTTGCAAATGTTTTTGTTGCTTAAACGTTACAACTTTTCCCAAATTCTACATTTTTTATCAGAATTCGGCGGTCATTCAATGTAAATGGCCCATACTTCTTAAAGTAAGCATACTCTTTTTTCTGATCAGCACATTTTTGTGCTTGCTAGACTTCTCCACTTGTTGCTTATAAACAAATTTTCTATGAATCTTCCGAACAAGAGGTGATTTGCAAGTTCTTTGTTGATCTACAACTGATAAATTACAATTTTGTTTGGTATTAACCCACGACATATCATTACAAAGTTTTCCTGAAGAAATTACATCAGCCTCTTCTCATAGTGTTCATATTATATCAACAGCCTCCTGATAAGCAAGTCAAAATGGTTCCCCCATTTTACTTGCTCAGTAAAGCCTCATGTTACTCTGGTTTGGATCTCATTTCCACAGATTTGTGTAAACTGCTTCCACAAATCCATTCCATTCTCCTTGGCTTCTATTTCTAAAAAATATTTAAAGACAGACGTTGCAACAAATAATTTTACCAGGCTCTCTTTGGCTAGCCTTGGTGGATTTAACATTACGGATTGGGCCTCCATCAATTAGATATTGGCAGAAAGTAAAACTTGAAAATATTCAATCATACTACCCTTACCATGTTTCTAGAATAAATTTTATAAGTATTTTAAGGCTGATACCGAGCTGAAAATCCTCAATTTCAGTCAAATACCTTTAATTAAATGCTCATATTGACCCTCCAAACCCTTCGATGGAAGATCCATCTTCATTTGTTTGGGTGTTTGTTTCCAAAGCCTGGTGCCAAATTCAAATTTTCTAGCGATAGTTGTCGATATTCCTGTCCTCATCATCCCTTTAGTAATTACATCATCAAATGTTGATATTACCGCTAAGAATACTACGCTTGTTCTCAAAAAGCCCCAACCTCCTATTGGTGATCAAAATGACGATTATTAATTATAACAATTTCTCGTTTTAAATAAAGCATTAGTGAATAAATGATTTCAAGTTCTATGTACCAAAAGAGGCAAGAGTGTAAAAAAAATCTATTGTCATCCTACTATTGTCACTAGGTTTCAAGCTACAACAACAACAAACCCTTATCCCACTAAGTGAGGTCGGTTACATGAATCTTTTTTATCCATTGCGTCCTATTTAGTGTCATATTTTCATTTAATTCGAATAAATTAAGATCATTTTTTATACAATATGCCCAAGTCTTTCTAGGTTTACCTCTGCCTTTCTTAACATAAGTCGAATGCAAAACATCTACTCTCCTAATCGGATCATCAAATGGTCGAAATGTGACCAAACCATCTAAGATGACTCTCTTTAATTTTGTCCGCCACTAGAGCTACACAAACCCTATCAAGGATATATTCATTTTGA